TATATATATATGTATATGAATATATATATACATATGTATACACACACATATATATATGTATATACACATACATATATATATATACATACGTATGTGTATATATATATATATGTGCGTGTGTATACATATGTATATACATATACATATACCTTTGGTTCCGGGTTTTGCTCTTTTGGCTTTAGGATTTCAGGCTAGTGCTGGAGTGTCTGAGGGTGAAAAGAGCAGTCTTTCGAAGAATCCGAGGCTTTAGCGGAACCCCAGAACTGTCTTCTAATCGTGGAGACCCTTGTATTCTCGGCTTCAGGCAGAAACGCAAATGAGGGCTTGTCAGGGTCTCCGTTTTTGCAAAATCAGAAGACTCTGCATGGCGTTTGCTGCCGCTGTTTTTTTCAAGCAGCACAACTTCAAAGTGTACCACTGCCTACAAGGGCAGGCCACAAGCTTCAGAACCCCAAGAACCTGGAACCCATGAGCCCGAAACTCCAAACCCTCAGATCTCACGAAGCAGCAAACCTCTGCTCCCGAAGCCCCACACGGGGGGAAGTTCAACCCGTAAGCGTTAAGCTGGAGGAGTTCGAGAAACTCCTCCTGGACCATTCTGGTGGTGTGGCATTGTTGACCCTGTGCATGGACCTCCAGGACTATCTCAGGATCTAAGGTTTAGGACCGTTTAGGGCGTAGGACTTTGGGGCTGAGGGTATTGGGTGTAGGATTTAGGGTTGAGGGATCCAGGTTGAGGGGACCTCTGCAATTTCACACTGCAAGGTCAGGAGCCCAGGTCGTTTCGTGGGTGTGCGAGCGGGAGGATGGATGCCGCTTCTCCAAATTTAGGATCTTGGCTTGGCATCCTTGACATCGGAAAAGGGGCTGAAGAGACAGGCTATTGGGCAGTGGTTGCTGGGCGGAGCTGGGAGATCAATCGGATCAGGTGAATTTGTGGAGATGTCGCACAGCAACCTAGCCAAACAGTTCTCTCCTCTCAGCAGACGCATACTTCAAGGAGCTAAGTGAGAAGTAGCTGCTGTAATGGCGACTGTCCTATGACATGCAGCACCTGGCAACAAGGAGCTCCCTGGCACTCGCGAGAAGGTGTGGGGCCCTGGACGGGAGAGGTATAGTTGCTTTTCATGACATCTGCGATGGATTGCACTTATGTCGTGCCCCCAAACTCAATCGGTAACACCCGTAAGCCGTACACGCTGCAGCCCCCCCGCGGAATAGTTCGGCCACAACTTCAATAGCCTCCTGCAGTCCTGGAGGCAGCTTCTTTCGTTCGATCCCTAGTGGAGAACGAGAGCATGGCTGCTGAGGAGCCCGGGCACAGTGATGGATGTTACACGATCCAAGCACAACGGTCGAGCACTTGTAAGACTATATATACTCTTGTAGTTTGCTGCGGCGACACAGCTTGTATGATTGGGTTTCTTCCGAACAAGCCGGCAACCTAACAGCCTCGCCAGCACGCGGCCCCATTGGCGACTGCCCTGGCCAAGCTTTTCTCCAACCTGGAGGACCGGGCACTGGGTTTTGAAGCATGGCAGTCGACGATTCGATGGGCTTCGGAACCAATACAGCAAGTCCTGCGTCGAGCTAACACCTACCAGCATCGCCGACTATTTTTCCTAGGACCTTCATCCCTGCTGCGGCTTGAGTGTATTGCAGGCATTGATAGCGACGACAGCATCTTGCGATGACGAAACGAAATTAAAGCAGGAACAAAGCAGTGAGGGTAGGATCATTGAGGTATCACGGCCGATGCTACAGTGATACTGCAATGCAACCCTTGTCGTCATTTTCGCCATCGTCAGTGCAGTAGGAGGAATTTAGGGGAAGAGCAGGAAAAAGTAGTCGGAATGGTGATGTAGTTCTTATCGTTACAGCTGTCCTAGCAGCAGCTGTTCTGGCCGTCGTCGCTTCTTGGCCTTGCCAAAGCAGCCGCAGCAGGATCGCATTCGTCGCAGTAGTAGTAGTAGTAG